TTCGGGAATGTAATAGTTTTTAAATTAGGATTTTATTTATTTATTTATCGCTTTTATTTACTTTTCGCAATTTAATTTTAAAGGGTTTGTCTTTGGCGATGTAAATACTCGACGCCTTGTAATAGCTTAGATTTATTTTCCGCAATTTAATTTCCGCAACCATTAACTGTTAGATGTTTGATAAATAGGCAATGCATGACAAGATTAATCTGTAACCTAAAATCAACAGTAGCTCACCATAACATGTACAAAGATAACATAACTGAAAAACAATACACTCGTACATGCGCACTCTTAGGGTACACCTCACTTGGTTGCCTCGAACGTGGTCATTGAGTATAAGAAGTTTTAGAGGTCGCCCTCTTGTCCAAAGATCATAAGTTGCCTCGAAACGGTTGCCTCAGATAAAATGATCTAAGACATTAGGGTTACCGCTAAGGCATCCTAACATTGCTTTAGTGACCACACGTCCCTTAATCGAATTGACCCGAAAACTCCAACGATGGTGCTTGTCATACCCCAATTTTTGACCTAAGATCCCATTTTTATTTTTGCATTTTTAAACATAAGTCAAGGTCACGAAATACGGTCGGTTTTAACCTCTCACCTTCGAGCTTTGACTATGCGAAGATTGTCAAGTGTTTTGAACATTTTTAGCCTATGTATCACTAATTTCCAATCGCCTACAAAGGTGTATGTTCATGTTTTCTTTTGTTTCACATGCATAGACAGGTCTGGATCAAGAGCATCAAGTGTCGCGCCTCAATTAAGATTTTGAGTCTCCCAAGCCAGAAGTACGGTTGATTGTGGATTCTCGAAGACTGATTCATCAAGGCACAACTGTTGCACCCTAAATTTCGCCCCTAATATGTTTTAGTCGCACTTTCATATCATATTTTGTTATTTGGTCACAATCATTAGTAAATATCTTCATTCATCACATTTTGCATCATTAGTCGTATTTAAGTTGACCAGAAATAGTCGGTTTAAATCAAAGTTTGCATCGTCTTTTAGTTAAAAATACCTGACATTTCACTTCATGCATTTTTATCTCTTTACTCGTTTCTTGCATTGCTCCAAGTTGTTTATATGTTGATAATAAAAATATTTCGGTTTTATAGGCAGATTGTTAAAAGCGGTTCGACACTGTGCGAAAAAATAGCGAGAAAAATATTACAAGTTTTAACCTTTTACCGATCATTTTATGAATATGCGTTTCACGTAGTTTATGACGGTACGCTCGCTTTATTTTTCCGGTGCAGTTTGAAGTCTCATTTTTAACCGTAAACGTCTGTCCAGTCTGATATTTTTATTCTCATTTTATTTTGATTTTGACTTTTTGAATATTTTTTATTTAATCTTTGTGACGTGTAGTTTATTTTAATGTGTTCATTTTATTTTTTCGGATAAATTTTCGTCCGTTTTTTATTGTTTTCGGTCATTTTAGCTCTTTATTTTTTATTCAAAAAATATATTTTAAATTGAATTAATTTTAATACTTTCAATTTTTTATTTCATTTTTATCATTTAAGGGCGTTTTTGTCACAAAAATATATTGATTACACTATACTATGCTCTCATTGGCTGTTAGCAAAAGTGGTGGATTGATACAGAGAAAATGGAAATCAACGGATCATGATTGAATTTAAAATCAATTTTTTTCTTCTTCACTTGTCTATATAAGACCTCTTAATTTTCTTTGTATGATACCAAAAAAAAAAACAAAAAAAACAATTCACACAGTAATTACTTCTCACTTTCTATTCCTCTCATATCACAAAATAAAAAGCATATCAGTAACCTCTTCCTTTCTCTTCACATGCCATTTTCTTTCTTTATTCAAAAAAGAAAACTTACAGTAAGTAACTCATACCACTTATCTCCTCCTCTACTCCATAAAACAAAACAAAAAACTAACAGTAGCTACAATATCTCTCCCTCTCTTTCCACGCATAGCCTTTTCAATCTCCCTATCCATTTCCAGCAAACCCACTTCCATCAACCTCCTTCCTACAACACATCACCGTCTCCATCTAACATCACTCATCATCTCCGAATCTTCAATCTTCCTCCCAACCTTCATCCCAACCAACAACCTTCTTCATCGCCACTGTTAACCCACCTTCACCGTGACCTCATCCTTTCTCTCCGATTCAACCCCCTTCCGCTCTTCATCTTCAACATAAACCATAACACCCTTCAATCTTCCTTCCTCCCATCAAAGCAACTCCATTCCATTTCCTTTCCTACCCACATGAACGTCCTTATCAAACCTCCAACTCCTCAATCTCAATCGCACGGCACCACCCTCTGGATTTGCATCGCACTTCCATGAACACCATGAGGGAATTGATGTTGAATATTTGTTATTGATTGCTTAAAGAAATCGAACAGGGACTGGATTTGAGAAAAAAAAGAGGTTTGATTGGAAAGAAGGAAGAGAGTTGAATGACAAAGCTGTCGTCTCTCTCTGTCATTGTACGTGGGTATGTATCATATTTTTTCTTTTTTTTCTTTTCTTTTAATTTCTAATGCCACATGTCATGTCTTGAGTGGTTGGTTTGGAACAGTGGAAAGGGTCAAAGTTTCAACATCAGCTTCTTGCTGAAGCGTGAAACAAATGGGAGTTAAAAAAAAATTATCATTTAATATTTGTTTTAATTATTACTATTATTTAAATTGGGTTTATGTATAAAATGGGCATCAGGTCTATATTACCAATTATTGTTGCATCTCCAATTCAATATACACTCCTAGCCCAATTATCTTAAAAAAAATATTAGTAAATCTTATATTTAGATTTAGTTTAGTATTAATTTAGAATTTTTTTTAATTAGTTTAGATTTATTTTATAACTTTAAAATATTTAGAATCATAATTAATAACTTTAGAATTTTATTTGTTTTAATTTTATTTTAGTAACTTTAGAATTTTATTTCATTTAGATTTGATTTAGTAAATTTTAGAATTTTATTTGTTTTAGTTTTGACTTAGTAAACTTTAGAATTTTATTTTGTTTTAGTTTTATTTTAGAATTTTATTTGTTTTAGTTTTGACTTAGTAAACTTTAGAATTTTATTTTTGTTTAGTTTTATTTTAGTAACTTTAGGATTTTATTTCATTTAGATTTGACTTAGTAAATTTTAGAATTTTATTTGTTTTAGTTTTGACTTAGTAAACTTTAGAATTTTATTTTGTTTAGTTTTATTTTAGTAACTTTAGGATTTTATTTCATTTAGATTTGACTTAATAAATTTTAGAATTTTATTTGTTTTAATTTTAATTTAGTAAACTTTAGAATTTTATTTGATTTTATTTAAGTTAACTTTAGAATTTTAGTTGTTAGTTTTAGTTTAGGGACTTTAGAACTTTATTTGATTTAGAATTAGTTTAATGAGTTTATAATTTTTATTTGATTTAAAATTAGTTTAATAAGTTTAGAATTTTAGTTGTTTAGAATTAGTTTAATATTCTTTTAGAATTTTATTTGATTTAGATTTAGTTTAGTAACTTTGGAACTTTTTTTGTTTTAGATTAGCAACCTTGGAATTTTTATTTAGTTTAGATTTAATTTACTAATTTTAAAATTTTTAATTTAGCTTAGATCTAATTTAGTAATTTTAGAACTATTTTTGCAACCTTAGAATTTACCTTAGAATTCTAAACTAACTACAAATTCTAAGGTTGCAAAAATAGTTCTAAAATTACTAAATTAGATCTAAGCTAAATTAAAAATTTTAAAATTAGTAAATTAAATCTAAACTAAATAAAAATTCCAAGGTTGCTAATCTAAAACAAAAAAAGTTTCAAAGTTACTAAACTAAATCTAAATCAAATAAAATTCTAAAAGAATATTAAACTAATTCTAAACAACTAAAATTCTAAACTTATTAAACTAATTCTAAATCAAATAAAAATTATAAACTCATTAAACTAATTCTAAATCGAATAAAGTTCTAAAGTCCCTAAACTAAAACTAACAACTAAAATTCTAAAGTTAACTTAAATAAAATCAAATAAAATTCTAAAGTTTACTAAATTAAAACTAAAACAAATAAAATTCTAAAATTTACTAAGTCAAATCTAAATGAAATAAAATCCTAAAGTTACTAAAATAAAACTAAACAAAATAAAATTCTAAAGTTTACTAAGTCAAAACTAAAACAAATAAAATTCTAAAATTTACTAAGTCAAATCTAAATGAAATAAAATCCTAAAGTTACTAAAATAAAACTAAACAAAAATAAAATTCTAAAGTTTACTAAGTCAAAACTAAAACAAATAAAATTCTAAAATAAAACTAAAACAAAATAAAATTCTAAAGTTTACTAAGTCAAAACTAAAACAAATAAAATTCTAAAATTTACTAAATCAAATCTAAATGAAATAAAATTCTAAAGTTACTAAAATAAAATTAAAACAAATAAAATTCTAAAGTTATTAATTATGATTCTAAATATTTTAAAGTTATAAAATAAATCTAAACTAATTAAAAAAATTCTAAATTAATACTAAACTAAATCTAAATATAAGATTTACTAATATTTTTTTTATATTTTTTTTAAGATAATTGGACTAGGAGTGTATATTGAATTGGAGATGCAACAATAATTGGTAATATAGACCTGATGCCCATTTTATACATAAACCCAATTTAAATAATAGTAATAATTAAAACAAATATTAAATGATAAAAAAAAAATTTTAACTCCCATTTGTTTCACGCTTCAGCAAGAAGCTGATGTTGAAACTTTGACCCTTTCCACTATTCCAAACCAACCACTCAAGACATGACACGTGGCATTAGAAATTAAAAGAAAAGAAAAAAAAGAAAATATATGATACATACCCACGTACAATGACAGAGAGAGACGACAACTTTGTCATTCAACTCTCTTCCTTCTTTCCAATCAAACCTCTTTTTTTTCTCAAATCCAGTCCCTGTTCGATTTCTTTAAGCAATCAATAACAAATATTCAACATCAATTCCCTCATGGTGTTCATGGAAGTGCGATGCAGATCCAGAGGGTGGTGTCGTGCGATTGAGATTGAGGAGTTGGAGGTTTGATAAGGACGTTCATGTGGGTAGGAAAGGAAATGGAATGGAGTTGCTTTGATGGGAGGAAGGAAGATTGAAGGGTGTTATGGTTTGTGTTGAAGATGAAGAGCGGAAGGGGGTTGAATCGGAGAGAAAGGATAAGGTCACGGTGAAGGTGGGTTAACAGTGGCGATGAAGAAGGTTGTTGGTTGGGATGAAGGTTGGGAGGAAGATTGAAGATCCGGAGATGATGAGTGGTGTTAGATGGAGACGGTGATGTGTTGTAGGAAGGAGGTTGATGGAAGTGGGTTTGCTGGAAATGGATAGGGAGATTGAAAAGGCTATGCATGGAAAGAGAGGGAGAGATATTGTAGCTACTGTTAGTTTTTTGTTTTGTTTTATGGAGTAGAGGAGGAGATAAGTGGTATGAGTTACTTACTGTAAGTTTTCTTTTTTGAATAAAGAAAGAAAATGGCATGTGAAGAGAAAGGAAGAGGTTACTGATATGCTTTTTATTTTGTGATATGAGAGGAATAGAAAGTGAGAAGTAATTACTGTGTGAATTATTTTTTTTGTTTTTTTTTTGGTATCATACAAAGAAAATTAAGAGGTCTTATATAGACAAGTGAAGAAGAAAAATATTGATTTTAAATTCAATCATGATCCGTTGATTTCCATTTTCTCTGTATCAATCCACCACTTTTGCTAACAGCCAATGAGAGCATAGTATAGTGTAATCAATATATTTTTGTGACAAAAACACCCTTAAATGATAAAAATGAAATAAAAAACTGAAAGTATTAAAATTAATTCAATTTAAAATATATTTTTTGAATAAAAAATAAAGAGCTAAAATGACCGAAAACAATAAAAAACGGACGAAAATTTATCCGAAAAAATAAAATGAACACATTAAAATAAACTACATGTCACAAAGATTAAATAAAAAATATTCAAAAAGTCAAAATCAAAATAAAATGAGAATAAAAATATCAGGCTGGACAGATGTTTACGATTAAAAATGAGACTTCAAACTGCACCGGAAAAATAAAGCGAGCGTACCGTCATAAACTACGTGAAACGCATATTCATAAAATGATCGGTAAAAGGTTAAAACTTGAAATATTTTTCTCGCTATTTTTTCGCACAGTGTCGAACCGCTTTTAACAATCTGTCTATAAAACCGAAATATTTTTATTATCAACATATAAACAACTTGGAGCAATGCAAGAAACGAGTAAAGAGATAAAAATGCATGAAGTGAAATGTCAGGTATTTTTAACTAAAAGATGATGCAAACTTTGATTTAAACCGACTTTTTCTGGTCAACTTAAATACGACTAATGATGCAAAATGTGATGAATGAAGATATTTACTAATGATTGTGACCAAATAACAAAATATGATATGAAAGTGCGACTAAAACATATTAGGGGCGAAATTTAGGGTGCAACAGTTGTGCCTTGATGAATCAGTCTTCGAGAATCCACAATCAACCGTACTTCTGGCTTGGGAGACTCAAAACCTTAATTGAGGCGCGACACTTGATGCTCTTGATCCAGACCTATCTATGCATGTGAAACAAAAGAAAACATGAACATACACCTTTGTAGGCGATTAGAAATTAGTGATACATAGGCTAAAAATGTTCAAAACACTTGACAATCTTCGCATAGTCAAAGCTCGAAGGTGAGAGGTTAAAACCGACCGTATTTCGTGACCTTGACTTATGTTTAAAAATGCAAAAATAAAAATGGGATCTTAGGTCAAAAACTGGGGTATGACAGTGCTACCTACTCATCAATAGTGGGATAACAATGTCTAAAGGACACTTGTACAGATTAATTCCTTTTTGAGTAGGTAGATGGTTCTTAAGTACTTGCTCCTTTTAAAAACAAAAAAAACTTTTCGCATTTACACTCTCTTCAAAAAAACAAAACTCTTTTCAAACCCACAATCACAAAGAAAAGCAAACTTTTGAAAACATAACGAGTGTCTATAACGACGAGTGTCTATAACGACGAGTGTCTATAATGACGAGTGTCTATAACGACGAGTGTCTATAACGACGAGTGTCTATAACGACGAGTGTCTATAACGATGAATTGTATCATAGAAATCTTTAGGCATTGATTTAACTGGATTTGTATTCTTTGACTGGGTTGGTCTCTTTTGACTGTATTCGTCTACATAGCTGATCTTTTCACTATATCATTCCTGAAAGGTAAAGGTCAGTCATATGCAATGCATGATATGGATCAAGCAATAATATTTTTCAACACATGATATTGTATGATGCATGTATCATGATGTATAACAATGTGATGTTTATGAATGTATCTACGTCTAGGAAAATAGATCCTTGACAGATGCCGGAAAGTCAAATCCTGGGCTGATGTTGAAGAGTGAGATTCTTCGTTTTCGTTGGGGATGATGATTGCAAGAATACCGGTAGGAGAAGATGACTCTGTTGGGGAATAAACTTGGCGAATAGATTACTCTTCGGGGAGGTAACTCTGTGGGGAAAGAGAGGTACTTCGCTGAGGTTGATGATAACTCCGCTGGGGATACCATTGATATGTTATGATGGAAGTTTTGATGAGCTTCGCTGGGGATAGGAAGACTTCGCCGAGGACGATCCTTCCGTGGCTTTTAGCTGAGGATAACCCAGTTATAAGCTCTGGTGGAGAAATAACCTTTGAATAAAACCTGGGGAGACGCGTTCGCTCTGTAGGGAGTGAAGGTATCTTGGTCGCATTCTTCAGTTAAACTTACCTTGGCACTTTGGTAGACAGAGCAACCGGATCATTTAGACAACTCATTATTGCCCCAGTTTCTGTTGGAGAAGAAGGTACCTGTGAAGGTGTTTGATGACTGCCGATTGACAAATCTTCTTCTGGTAGGCAAGTGACGAGATGCCGGGACATAGTCGTACGCTTTGATTCCTAACTTTTGCCTGGACCGCCCTTTCGGGTTTTCAGCCCACCGGGATACCCATTTTTGCCAAAGCCGCCTTTTCAGGTTTTCGACTTGCCGGGTGTACAAATTTTTTCATTTTCATCCCTTATTTTGCCCGAACCCTTTTGGTTCACCGGGAAGCCCTTATTTTTGCCTAGGTGTGTCAACCTAGCGGGTCTTTGATTTTGCGTAGTATTTTTTCGACTATGTCCACGCTCTCAGGATGTAGGGAGGTGCCCCTGTCAGTAGTGTAGTGTTTCCATACCACCAGAAGATCTTCATTTGATCGTTCAATGCCCCAAGTGATCCAGATGGAGATTTGCCCCAAGCTGGTTGGCCTTTTGAGAGATTCTCCGAATCTTGACTTAACTGCCCCAGATGATGGACAATGATCATGCCATGCCCCTTGATTGGAAGTGCTTTTGTTCACTAGATATTCTTTGTGCGAATTTCTCTGCTGTTCGAACAAATAGTCATACGTAAACAGTATTATATCAAGAATGCAAAGCTTACGTCTGTTTCGAAGTTTTTGAAAATGCATCTTTTAGTAAAACAAGCAAATTTTGTAAAATGTGATGTCAACTCGTTATTTTACCGCAAGCCTTAAGGAGTCAGGATACCTTTCGTAACAGTATGCTTTCGAACTAACCCATGCTTCAGCTAGGACTTTTTAGGGTTGTAACGTGGCCTGGTTCACGGTTTAAGAAACAAAGGATAAAGGCTCAAACTTTTTTTTTGTACCCACTCGTTCTTCGTGATGTTCTTCAATCCTAAACTCAGTTGATCGTGCGTTAGACCTTGTTTGAGTCTTTTGCTCTAATATACCAGTGATGGTTCGGGTATTGACAATTTATTTTGAATGGGCAGTCATTTCCTTTTTTGTTGAGGGTTTGTATGACCTCTTTTTTTTCTTGATTTTGTTATCCCTGTTTTTTGCCTGAGCTGTTTCCTTTTTGGAATTACAGTCAGCGGGATGCCCCAGTTTTGTAAGTCTCCTTCATAGACTTAATGGGTTTTTATTTTGAGAAGTAATGACTGCCTGTCTTTATGATTGTTCGGAACCATCGCTGTCTTTTTTTGTTTTGTAAGGATTCCTTTGATGCCATTCATTGTGCACCTGGATCAACTTAGAGAACTACCCTGCCCCAGGTTATGATTAAGGGTTTTAATTTCGAAAAAGAAAAAACTCCAACTTCTTTGGCTCAGAGGGGTTGACGAGGGATTATCTTCCTTATAACTCCAGTGTTTAGGAATTGAAACAATGCCTGTACCTCATCAGCGGGGTCTGTTCAAAAGCATACTGTAGATTGTGGTATCGTTTTCGTCATCCTCCCTCAAGAGGCTTTGAATTTTAGATCAAGAGTTGACATCACAAAAATATGAAAACAGTTTGCATATAGTGAATACGAAATAATTACTTCAAAACAGACATGTGTAATGCATTAATGAAATAACCAAGTTTGACATGAAATAAAATGTTTGAACAATCGAAGAAAAATACAATCTTGAACATTCAAATGAACAAAAGTTTCCAATCTTAGCCATGTTTGGGCAGGGGAGCAATGGTCACATTGGGAGCCTCTGGAGAGTCGAGCTGGACTTCCTTTGCGTCAATCAGATCCGGAACCTTGTTTCTCAAAGTCCAACAATCATCTGTAGCATGCCCCGGGCTGTCAGAATGATAAGCGCAGCGAACGTTGGGGTTATACCTTGAAGGCGTCCTGTTGGGATTCTTTGGAGGGTCCATGAGAGTTACCAACTTGGTTTCTAGCAATTGTGGCAATATCTGTGACAAGGTCATGCCGAGGGGAGTGAATTGCCTTTTGGGTCTCTCTTCCCTTTGCTGATTATGACGCTGAGGAGCGCCGACCGGTTTTGCAATAACCACCGCGTTGACATCTTGGCGGTGCTCGGACCTATTCTGCCCTCTTGAGCCATAGACAACACTAGATTCTCTCTTGGATAGTTTCTTCTCAGTGTTCGAGGAGTCACCATTCTGTATTTTCCCTGACTTGATGCCAGCTTCTATTCTTTCCCCGGTCAAGACCAAATCTATAAACCCGGCAGCAGAATTCCCAATCAGGTGGTTGAAGAATGGACCAGACAGGGTCCCCAAGAACATGTCGACGAGCTCGCGGTAAGTCAGAGGTGGTTGTACCCTTCCAACAAGGTCCCTCCATTTTTGAGCATATTCTTTGAAACCTTCGCTTGTACCCATAGACATCCCCTGAAGCTGAGTACGCGTGGGAGCAAGGTCGGCATTATACTGGTATTGCTTATAGAATGCAGTGGCCAAGTCTTCCCAGCTGCGGATGTTGGCTCCATTCAGTTGATAGAACCAATCGAGTTGAGTTCCCGATAGACTATCCTGAAAAAAGTGAATCCACAAAT